ACCAGACAACCCGTTTATGATGGCAGGGTTAGGTTATGGAACACATGCACCACTTTGTTTTGTGGCACTGTGGTGCAGCATGTATATGATCAACAGGGGAAGAATGGCTCACCCTGTTGGTCATATATCAAAATGCACATTTTGTTCCTATTATTAATTATTAACCCAGGACAACAAATGGAACAGGCTGGTGAACAGAAGCAATAATCAGACTGAGCTTGTTTGCACAAAGTTGAACATAGTGTGTAGTGAATGGTACGTTTTACCTTCAGTGTTCAATGTTCCCCACAGCCCTCTCTGGGCCCCTGTTGCTACTGGTGGTATAGTAGTGGACCCTAAAGTGGGTGAAAAATAAAATTTATACCAGTGCTTTATGAAATGCAACTAAATTCTGTGCAGACATTTTTGCTGTCCAGCTAAGATGAATCTGACTGATTTTCTGATACTTGCTAAATTTTTGCCATAAGTTTCACTTACATAACATAACTTTCACTCTGGCAGGCTATCATGCTAAAGTGTAATTGTGAACTTAATATCTTAGTTGCAGGTGTGCTACTCATGCTAATGTGACAGTTCTAAGAGTACCGGTGCAGGTGACCCCAGCGTCCTCATGATGGCCACAGTTGTGTTTACCCCAACCCAGGCTCTTGCATTTAGTCAGGTCCTGCTCCGTGCCCTGGCAGTTGACGTTGTCCAGAAGAATTAGCCCGGTACCGTAGCCAAAGTAGGAGTTGGTGTGTGCAGAGACAGCACTGCCGCAGCCACTCTGTTGGCATACTACCTTGGCATTGTTGAGTACCCAGTCATCATCGCACACTGTCCCCCAGTTTCCCTGGTAGAAGATCTCGACTCGGCCCTGGCACGAGTTCTGTCCATTAATCAGACGGATGGTGCCATCTCCTAAAGTAAGCAGGAGAGGGAGGGATTTGTAGGCACTAATCTTGATAAAGCTTTTTCTTTACAGAGCATATTTTTATACTCTGTAAGTTTTTATTAGATTCTCTATGTATGTCATTTTGGGGGTATCAAAGGGAACAGCAGCTGCTGTGATTTGACACTGATACACAGAAAGAAGGCAATACAATGCACACTACAGAGTGCAGAGGAAAAACCAAAAGTGAAGCGCTAAATTGACATCTAATATTGCACTAAGCACAGATGTTGTCATCATATGCCTCTTTGTGGACAGAAACAAGGAGACAATAGCCATTCTTATGTGTCCATCATTTAAGAAAGCCCTGAATTTGGACGCCTTTACTCAATTCCCACAGGGTTACATAGTGGTTAATGGAAAAGTAGCTAGATACGTCAACTTGTTAACTAAATTCTTCTTCTTCTTCTTTTGGTCTCTCACAATTCTTTGGGGGATTATAAGAAAACACAAGAGGATGACTGCTACAAAGGCAAACCCAGCAAACAATAGGTATGGCCTGGAATTCATGAGGCCTTTGGGGCGTGTTCAAAAGTTTCCATTATCCCACAAGTCTTTGAAGGTGAACTGAAATAATATATTGCTTCAGTTCTATTTGTGTTCCTTGATTAATGAAGTTGTTCATTTTGTGAGTCTTCCCGCATTTTTGACTGAGCACAATGACAAAATAAACCATTGTTCATTCTTTAATGCAACCTGCCCTTGCATTTCGTGGCAACATCTGGCATACCACCTGTCAGCAACAATTTGATTAGGGCGTGAAAATCATCTAAAGAAAAACTGATCTGATGGTGAATTCTTTACAGTATACAACATAAATTAAAGGTGTTCCCTGTGGTCTGTGTCATACTTTGTTTGTTTATATATTACTTTTAAAATTTGTATTGCACTGATGTAAGTATATGAAAAACCTAATCTGCTTATTTAACAGCGAGGCAGTGCAGCATCTTTTGCTTAAAGCAATTTCATCAGTTTTGTCCCCTGAAGATTAACTCCACATACAGGTGTGGAGTTAATCTTCACACCTGTTGGTTTAGATGCTTAGACCTACGACAATAGATTGGCTTGGGTGCATTATGGTATGGAGAAAAACAAAAAAACCCTCACTGCTATTGTTAGATTTGTATTGTTGATTGTCATTTATGCTTAGAAATATTTACTTATATATGCTTAGAGTTTTGTAATTAGTTGTAGATTGGTAGAGGTTTTGATCCTTGATAGTCTGCAAACTTTGTGTGTATTAGACAGCACTTTGGGAGCATGAGAGGTCATACCGTGTCTTATTATTTTATGGTAGGATTAACGTAGCTGCGTCTGTTCTAGTCTAAGTGCTCTTTGTTTTGATGAACTGCAGGACTTCCTCACCGTGTTATCTAGGATGAACCATCTAGGGTGAGGGGGAGGCTACCCTCTTCCTGACCAAGGATGTTTGACCCTTTGATCAGCAGTCCCCACACACACACACACACACACACACACACACACACACACACAGGCAAGGTACTCTTTGTGTATGTAGACGTCATATGTTAATGAACTTATGCATATTCATGTAACCTCAATAAAAGGACAGTGATACGGGAGAACGGACGAGAGCTACTGGGGTCAAGCGAAGGAACGGCGTTTGTCTGGTTCTCTCCCGTGCACGAGTACCATGAAGAAGTTTGCCTACTTGCGTCTTGCTTGCAGTGTAATTATATTGTCTTCAACGTTCCAGCAGATGGGTTCAAGCTACAAACCTATCATTAATTGGTCCTTCGATGCCGGAGCCCTGGAATCGCATTCACCGAGGGGAGGAGAGGCACGCTGAAAGACTGACGTCAGCCAGGAAGTTCCTGTGGATTCGCTGTATGTCTTTTCTCCTCGATGAATGGCGATTGGCGGGATTCGAGGCTGATATTACACGCTAAGCAACACCGAGTAAGTTTAGAGTCCAACTCTATAACTGTACGTCTTCGCCGCTCAGTGGGGCGTTGTCCGTGGCCGCTTAGTGGGGCTAAAATTACGTCTTCGCCGCTCAGTGGGGCGTTGTCCGTGGCCGCTCAGTGGGGCTAAAATTCGCCGTCTAAGTGGGGCGATGTACAAAGCCGCTCAGTGGGGTTTTTTGTACAGAAGCATTAAGTCGCAGAGTTGCGCAGTTCGAACTTTTTTTGGTTCGCCGTCTTAGTGGGGCGAAATACAGACCGCTGTGTGGGGTACTGTAGTGAGTTCTCCACCGCTCAGTGGGGTGTTGAGAAGTTCCGCGGGGTCCAGATTGTGCTGGACAGTAGGCCTATTTTGTGTTGTTTTTGTTGTCGTCGTCGTTGTTGTTGTTGTGTGGGTGTGTGCGGAGCAGAACATGTGGTCTGTGACACCGACTGTTGTTGTTATCATGGGTTTCTATGCAGCCAAGAGTGAGTCGGAGGGAGACAGACGTTTGTGCTGGACTTTGCTCCTGGCAGCACAAAGTATTTATGTAAAAAAAAAGAGAGAGCGACGGCTCCACAGCTGCGCGGGTTCACGCGAGCGCGGTCACGCGGACCTGAGCCATGCGGTTAATCGCAGGCTTATAAATGGAAGAGATTCAAATGTTAGAAGTTTTCAGAAAACACACCAGCCTTGGAGAGCTGTGGAGAAGGCCAGCCCACATCAGCAGCACTTAAGATATGCTCTGGTGACTGGCTTTCCCCCCACCCCTTGCTGACACAATGTTTATTCTTTAGCTTGCCCTGATCGACAGCAGCCTGTGTGCCAGACCATAGATTTAATTGAGGTGGATAGTTGTTAAAAGTAATCTACATTAAGCTTGTGGTTGCTTAAATTCAGTACAATGACATGTGAGGTGAAGTGATATAGGTAAATATTTAAACTCATGAAGTGCATAGAGGCACTTGACCTGTGTGAAAGACTGTCGTCTTATTATGAACCATTGTTGAGATATACAGCACACCTGTGAAAACAACTAATATGCTCAACCCTGTATGAAACATCTAAAAGTACATGATGGAGGAGCTGTGTTGAATATGAAAGTGTAAGACTTTGCCGCTGTGGGCAGAGCAACTACTGTGTGATGTTGCGTTGCAGTTTTTTTTCTGAGCTGATGAGCAAGCTACACGTTATCAGATCAAGAGCTGTCTGGGAACTACTCAAAGAGGGGGAAACAGGGAGTGTGCAGCGTTTCCGTGAGCAGTTTTCCTGCATCTTGACTTGTGTGTAGAGTGTTCATAACATCAGCATCATGTTTTTGTTTATTTGTTTTGTTGGGTTGAAAATAATTAAATAAATGTGTGATCATGCCTATGGATCACCATGGCACTTATCTCCAGCCATATGATTTATTTATGCAGATGAAAAAGTGAGTGTGAATGTGTCTGACATCAGTGTTTTTGTGCACTGTGCAAAAGTGATTGCCTCTGATTGTGAGTGAGAGCGGTGATTTTGCAGACCACCAGCTATTGTGAAGAAAAAAAAAAAGAGTGAAAAAGAGACAAATTACATTGTAGACGAAGAGAAATAATCATAGGAAAAAGGTTTTGTGTTGATCAGCCGAAAAACAACTACAATGTCATTTTCTGCTTTTAAGAAAGGATTGTTCACACAAACACAGACAGACAGAGAGAGAGAGAGATGTGTGTTGATTAAGCAGTGATGATAATAATGAACATGTTTTAGTTTGTCACTTTCAGGTGAAAAGCAGACCTGTATCAATTTTCCACATGCAACAGTCGGAAGAAAGTTATAGTTTAACATCATTGGAAACATGCAGGCCAAGTTTCTGGCTGACTTATTTACAGTGCCATGTGTTTCTCAACCTCACAAGCGAGCTCACTCCTCCCTGAAGATAAGAAATGCAGCTCCAAAGCAATAACATGATAAAGAGACAGCAGCAAGTCCTGAGCACAAAAAGTCCTAGCAAAGCAGCAGCAATGTGGATAAACAGCAGCAGAAGAAGAAAGCAAACCCATCTTCCTGTCTGATTGGTTGAATTTCACGGAGGGGCGAGCAAGATGGCAGCGTGAAGAGGAGTTTTTGTTTGAGTTCTCAGCACGAGACACTTATTTGACGTCTTTCTGGCCTTCGGGACTTTTTGGAGATCAGCGCGCTAAACTTGCTGGATCTGAGGCCAGGGTCTGCGGCGGCAGCATGTTGAAATGCTCAAAAAGGACTGAGTGACTCGGGCAAGCCACATGCGGCTAGCGACATGAAAGAAATGGACCCTTCATGATGCGTTCAACGTGCCAGCGCTGTGGTGGGAAAGGCTCCATCATAAACACGCCCTGCACCGAGGTTCAGGCCAAGAAGAAGAAGACGATGACTTCCAAGCCCAAGAAGGTCGGCCTCAGCGTGGGCGAGCTGATTGTGAAAGCCGTGGTCGCTTCCAAGGAGCGCAACGGCCTGTCTGTGGCCGCTCTCAAGAAGGCTCTGGCTGCCGGAGGCTACGATGTGGACAAGAACAAGGCCCGTGTCAAGACCGCCATCAAGAGCCTGGTGGCGAAGGGCACTCTGGTGCAGACCAAGGGCACCAGGACCTCCGGATCCTTCAAGATGAACAAGGCTACTGAGAGCAAAGCCAAGAAGCCCGCCGCGGCCAAAGCCAAGAAACCGGCAGCAGCTGCTAAGAAGTCGCCCAAGAAGGCAGCAGCAGCACTTCAGCTACTAGACAGGACAAAGCTGAAGGAGAACTGCCGGGACTGTTGAAGTGGGAGAGGACAAAAGAGTGAGAGGACAACAGAGTGAGAAGACTAGGTGAGAACACATAGGAATTATTTAATGTGGGAAATCAAAATTTGGGTTAGCAAACCTGGGGAAAAGAAAACTGACTGCTTAAGTTGGAAAATTGAGACGGAGTCTGAAACATTGCGAAAATAGAAACATATACAAAATCACACACACACAAGCAGAACATGCATTAACCCTACTAACAATTCCAAACACAAAATGACTCATGAAGACTCATAGCACATTAGTTAAGAAATGATCAAATAGCAGAGAAGTGTGTAGGAAAGGCAGAGAACATGCTCTGCTGGAGATGCAGCTCCACAGACCTGCATTAAACCTGCCTAATAACACCCATGCAATGAAAATTAGCTTGTTATCTTTCATCAGTGTTAAAATAGTGTCAATTTAGCAGACACTTGTTATTAAATACTGAATTTATCCAATGCAAAAAATTGACTCTCCAGGTTGCAGGACAACAGTTTAACTTTTGTGGGAAAAAAGATCCTGGTTTGACCAACCAGTGATCAGACAATAAATTTAGTTGTTAAAATGGTAAATTGGGAGAAGCTTCCTGCTTGATTGAGGCAGCACATGTAATTTACTGTATGAGGGAAATTGTCTTTTGTGATACTATTTTGAACATGCTTTTCTGTCGTCCTGTCAACTTAGTGGGTTAATAGCTGATATGCAAATTAGTTGATCGGTTTTAGATTAATGAAAGGTGACTGAATTCTAGCACGAGTGAATGAGATGTGTTGGAGTTGTTGTGTGTTGAGTGGAGACTCTAAAACACTTAGTTTCCTGCTTTGATGTGCGAGTGAATCCTGTATTTAGATACACAACTCTGAATACGTCAGAACAGACTGTTTTGTGAAGTGCATGACAGCATGTCACATGTTTTATGATGAAGGGAAAAACGAAAAATTGAATAAAATAGATCTGTGGCTTAAATGAGTGAAGAGCACAGACCTGGTGATTAAACTCATAAGTTAAAGAAGACATTAGGCTTATGTTGTGAGTGGTGCAGCTGATGGTTGGTTTGGAGTGAATCTAGCTGATGATTCTTCTCCTGTTGTGAAGTTGATGAGGAGTTTGTGTCATGACTTAGCAAGGCCTTTTTATTTTGATACTTTCACAGTGCACTGAAAGTTTTGTTCGATAATCTCTGTTCTTTAAGCAGATCTGCGAGTCGGGAATTAAAAGCGTTACACGTCGTCAAGAAAATTGTTGCAAGTGAGTTTCTCCACATTTAAAATGGGTTCAGGAGAAAGCCACTTATTTGGGACAATTAGGAAATGAGAGTCCCCCCCAAAAAGGATTCAACGAGGAAATCCAGTCTAAATTATTTTTCTTTTTGAAATAACGTCGTTTTGCTGAGCGTGGAAACGAATGCGATGATAATTTCCACAATTAGCAAAAGAAGGAACCACTGAGTGAATGAGTAAGAATTTTAAAATAACTGACTGACTGACTGAACATGATTGTGTGAAGCTAACCCCCACCTGACAAAGGTGCAGATGAACCCATGTGTTTCCTTTTACAGGAGCAGAAAGATGACAGCAACACTCGAGGTTGCATGATGATTTAACCTTTTAAATGCCATTTTCTGTGTCTGTGCATTTATCAGGTGTGTTATTCATAGGCTTGTGTTGCTCACAGAGATAACTGTGACAAAGTATGCATACGCCTGCGCAAGCGCTAATATTTGCATTTTCTTTTCTTACAGCATGCCAGTTCTTCATGTGAATTGATGATGCGATTTATACCAGGCCAACTGGTTGATGTTTTTTCCTACTACAGGATTTCTGGGTTTATGTGTGAGGAAAACTGTGTTTACAGGTTGTGAGTGGTGATGCTGTTGCATTGTGTTGATGGGAAAATGTGAAGGTTACTTTGATAATGTGAATAACATGTGTGAAATTTCCTGTGTTGAGAACTGGTGTTACTTCTTTCCACAGCTAGGGTTGACTTTATGGTGTTTTTATGGCACCTCTGGAACCTGTTGACCTGTGTCTGACCTCTGTCTGACTACAGTCAATGTGTATTGCTAATGTTAGTTTCTTTGAGAATGCTGTGGAAGATTCAGCTGAAACGGACAAGTGACATGAGTAAAACAAATAAGAGATACAGTGTTTCTGGGATAGTTTGATATGGGCTCATTAGCTGGCCACTTTTGAGCCCATAGTAATATATAAGTGGAGTGACTTTGCTTAAGAGCAGTCACCGATTACATTAATGTTGCCTGAGTACATGGGATGATCCATGTCTGAGGCGACTTATGAAAATAATTGTAGTTTACTGATTTGAGAAAACCTGCACATGACACTTGTCTTGCTGATGTTGAATGCTTCTTGTCCTTATGATACAATTGTTTACAGGTATGGAGTTTGATTTTACTTCCAGATTTTGTTTTCCAGGCCATGATGGTGTGTATGCAGGCTCCTGGGAGAGCCAGGTGTTAAGCAAACTTAATATGCAAAGCACACTAACATTTTTATTGCAGGATTATAGGTCCAGGGTGGTGCTGCTCCAGGGGAGGAGATGCCCTGATGTTGCCTGGGATATGATCTAGCTAATCTTTTTCTTTAAGACTGGAATCCAGGTTTGGTGAGTTGACGCATGGGTGTGTCCATGCGTCAAGAGGAGGGGTCCAGGATTAACATGAAACAATGTTTTTTATTATTGTTGCAGTGATTTGTGTGATTAGCCGTTTATTTACAAGTATTAAATTTATGCAAGTGGTGCACCCATGTTCAGATGAGGCTTTGATGGCCTATAAGTGAAGTTCACTGAACTAAAGAATGTGGTTTGATGATTGTTGACATACTCTCCAAATAGTTTGTCTTCCTAGCAAGGAAATACAGGTGCAGCAGTAATCTCCTGAGAAATCTTCAGAGGCCCAGTGAGAAGCGCATAGCTGACAGGACCAGGCAGTGGTTGAGGTCAAAGATCAAGCTGGTTGGGGCCCATCATGAAATCAGACCTTGGAGCCACAGCAAGGACCATGAAACTGCCTGCAAAATAGAGGAGAGGATCGTCCACAAGATGGGAGAGAGGCTTCAGGAGGATCAGAGATCATCTTCAGCACAGCAGACATCACACAGAGAGCTGTGCTACTAAGCTTCCAGGAAATCAAGAGGAGACTTCCCACAGCAAGATTTTAAATACAATGAAAGATTCAATATTGACGCTGAGGAAGACGACTAAGGTGTACGACGTGCTCTGCCTTAAACCTTCAGCAGCGTTGGAACATAAACACTCAGGGGATGAGGAGCGTGCCAAGCTCCATCGACAGCGTAGAAGGAGTTCGAGGATGACATCATGATTCTGTGAAAAGCACAGGAACCAGAAGCTATGGTGGTGATAACAGCAGTTTCCTATGAACATCACCTAACGCTGTGCCACTGTACTGTGCATACGATGACACTCTGAAGGCTGCTGGGATCATAATAGCAGTAAGACAACCCTGCACCCTTTCCACAGAGGTGTTTTCTGCAGAGTATGGACAATGAAGGACAATGAAGGAGTCATAAATATCCCCCTCACAGGACGAAGGCCTGAAGTGAGGTAATGGGAGGCCATAAAACTAGAGTGCTGAGAGGTCTGCAGCTTTGGAAATAGCTGAGAACCATGTTGACAAACAACAAAACCAACTGGTATGTTTGAATGTCTATTCTACATACATTTGGACTCTGGTCCTATGGACAACGATGGAAACAACTGGAAGAGACATTCATGACGCCCTGCAGAACTCAAACCACTCTGCAGAGAGACATGTGATGTGCACACCTGGAGGAAGCATTACCAAGCTGAGATGTTTTTGAAAATGTTATCTTCTTATTTTCACTATTAAATTAACAATTTGTTTGTTTGTGAGATGCAGTTTGCCATGAGATGAGCTCAATGAGGAATGGGATAACTGCTAATACGTTTGTTAAACTGTGTACCTTTTCAGTAATTTAGGGTGATTTGACATATGCTGAGTATAAAAATGTTTGCATTGAAACTGTTAGACATGAGGTATTCATACCTGGGAACTTTTCAGGCATAAAGGTCAAAAAGGGGGGAAATGTTAGATTTGTATTGTTGATTGTCATTTATGCTTAGAAATATTTACTTATATATGCTTAGAGTTTTGTAATTAGTTGTAGATTGGTAGAGGTTTTGATCCTTGATAGTCTGCAAACTTTGTGTGTATTAGACAGCACTTTGGGAGCATGAGAGGTCATACCGTGTCTTATTATTTTATGGTAGGATTAACGTAGCTGCGTCTGTTCTAGTCTAAGTGCTCTTTGTTTTGATGAACTGCAGGACTTCCTCACCGTGTTATCTAGGATGAACCATCTAGGGTGAGGGGGAGGCTACCCTCTTCCTGACCAAGGATGTTTGACCCTTTGATCAGCAGTCCCCACACACACACACTCACACACACACACACACACACACACACAGGCAAGGTACTCTTTGTGTATGTAGACGTCATATGTTAATGAACTTATGCATATTCATGTAACCTCAATAAAAGGACAGTGATACGGGAGAACGGACGAGAGCTACTGGGGTCAAGCGAAGGAACGGCGTTTGTCTGGTTCTCTCCCGTGCACGAGTACCATGAAGAAGTTTGCCTACTTGCGTCTTGCTTGCAGTGTAATTATATTGTCTTCAACGTTCCAGCAGATAGGTTCAAGCTACAAACCTATCAGCTATGTAATCAAACATTCAATTTCAAATTCACACACATCTGCCAGCTGCACATCCAACCAAAACAGAGTAATATAAGCAGGCATGCTTATGGCCACCAGATGAATTCAATTTGTTGGTTTTAGTTCGTTCTCCCTTTGGGCTCGGAGTGTCATGGTCCATAGTTTTCTTTTGGGTTTAAGTATGCTTTAAGTTTGAGCAGTTTTTTGTTTCATTTGAACCTTTAGTCATCCCATGACCTGGGTTTTCTGTGTCATATATGTTTAGAGTTGTTGCTTTAATCTA